CTGAGACCTTCGCCAATATCCAGTAAACTTGCAAATAAGATAATTCCTTTCAAGCCAACACCTAATAATCTCATTACAAATACTATACGACGGTTTATTTCGAATCCATTATTGATGAAGGGTCCTGAATCAACTTTACTTTCACCACACCTACACGAAACAACGAGTTTCTAGCCTATGCCGCGGTGCCCAGCTTCTAAAAACTTTACAGGTCCTTTGCACGATTTGCAGCACAGCAATTCAGACAATACAGAGAACATAGTCACAAACTCAATGATGCGATACCGGTGCCCATTATTTATTGTGATTTCGTCCTCCGATGCCAACGATAATTTTCTTGCACTCGCACTGGCACCTTTCGGTTCGCCTGTTTCAGTTGTAAAGCGGTTTCCATAAAACTTTCTTTTGCGCTCTGATGCACGATATCTTGAGCCTCCCTCGCCCTTCGGATACGAAGAAGATGACATGGTAAAACGTGCAGACTTGCTTATAACTCGGAAGCCACGAGAGAACTGAAACAGCTGCAGTAATCGCGCCGAAACTAGCAGTTCGAAAGCTATACTCTACAACCTCATCTCAAAAGTATACTAGACATGAAAAACGTTATATTTCAAACATGGCTGTATACATCTTATTGTATACCTTTGAGTCCCTACTCGATGGGAGGGCCTTTGTGTTAAAGCGCTCACCTGTTTACCTGCTCCGCGCGCTGACGGACCTTTCCGAAAACGGTCATAAAATTTAAACCGCTTAGAATTTTGCTCAAAAATTTTAACAGCATACTTTTGAAAGGTTTAACTTTCAAAATATGCACAAAAAAAAATCGATTTTTTTCGCCATTTACACAAGGATACCCCCTTAATAAAAAAATACATTAATCTTGAGTTTGATCATTGAGTTGATCAAACTCAAGATCAGTTCAGTTGAGTTTTTTCCGATAAACATTTCAATAAACACTTTTTTAACATTTTTTAAATACATAAAGGACACAATAATAATTCATTTCTACTAAATAAAACGCGGTTTACTCTCGTTGAGAACTGGCAAACGATTGACTTTGGAAAAGAATTTCTGTAAAATCAGAATGTTTCCTACTCTCTAAAAGAAATTCTCGTCAAATTGCAAAAAATCTTTAAAGTAAGAAGAACATCGATTTCGCTTTAAACGCTTAGCATGTGGGGGATTGTTAGCGCAACTCAACAAGAGGCTAACTTAAAAACTTTATTTCTAAGTCAAAAAGCATTGAGATAACTAAAGAATGATATACATAGATTTACAACCTGTTACTTATCTTTAAGTAGAAAAAAACATTAAGATAACTAAGGGATGATTCGCTATTGAGACCATCCACTCTCCAATCACCCGCTGCGCAATGCACACTTTCTCTACTATACACAGCTGTAGTTTGTTGAATGAAAGAGAGAAAGAGAGAGAGAGAGAGAGAGAGAGAGTAGCATCCACGCTATTCAGTGTACGCATCTAGCCAACATATATTTTACCAAGCTAGAGACGCTAGCCCTTCTCCGAGGACCCACATGTAGCCAGCATATAGCTTACCATACTAGAGAAGCTATCCTCTCTCCGAGGGCTCAGGCCTAGCCAGCATATAGCTTACCAAGCTTGAGGCGCGAACCCCTCTTTGCGAAAACGCGACACCTTCATCGGGCGGCCTCTTTATATCCCAGAACATTCATATATCCCTTACAAATTGGCGGTATCCTTTGTCGGCTCCTTTGTGTCCCAGAATATATATTGCTTATCTGGACGCTAGCCACCACTTGACCAAAAGTGCTGATATTTACATATTCGTGTAGCTCAACACCTTTACAATCGAAATCAAACAATCAATATTAACTTAATATTGCTCTGATTTTGACGTGTGTTTTTTTTGTTCTTGACGATCCAGAATGCTTTGAATGTTAAGACTGTTGTTCTGTTTCAATGAATCATCACCAGTAATAACTTTTTTAAGCACACTATCTCTGTTATTGACCATTACTAAGTTAACCTGAGTGATTTTTAAACGAAGCATTTTTTGCTCTGCACTGAGAAATTTCGAAATGAACTTGGTATACACGCGTGTCATTTGTAAATTTGAGGTTATGTTACGTCAGTTAACGCAACATATTTTTCAGGCACGTCTGAGGTAGACATAGTCTCAGGAGCACTTTTTGATCTATGCTTTCAGGCAATAACCGAGACGTGCATTACCACTATCGTGGGAAATTTTCTCTTCGGCGACGGAGGATTGAAGCTTCACTATACCACACACTTGACAATATAGTTATACTTCGCGTTACTTTATTACAAACTTGACAATAAAATAACGAAAGAAAGGGCCTATCTAATATGCACTCTAACACACGCTTGGCAATCGAGTGTAACTATTTAAATAAAAAAACGTATGCGAATCTAAGAAAGGAAAGAATGAGGAAAGAAATGAAGCAAATTAGAGTTTTGGTTTTTATTAAATTTTTTGACTTACTTTTTAAGACTTATTTCCCACACACACACGAAACTTGATAAAACGAAAGTCCTTTTTATAAAGTTGCTGAACTGGAACGAACTGGGGTAGAACTGTCTATTTTTCTATACGAGCTTACTTTTGTTTTTCGCGAGAGAGTCCCACTCTGAATTTTTTTGTCAATTTTATGTAGCAGGAACTTAAATTTTCCTGGTTTAATTGACTGGAAAATTCGGGAAGTGTTCCAAGCGTAAGCGAAATATGGGTTCTAATTGGTCTGGGGCAGAGTATGCGGGAGTGGCCTTATTCAAGTGTCTGGGGCCCTCTTCACAAAGATGGCCCTCTATGTACTATTTTCATTTATACTTAAAATTTTTTTATTATTTGAATTAATTGTGTGAGAGGTACTATAATCTTGCCAATACAAAAGTTAAGGATTATATTTATTTTTAAAACAAACAAGATTTTATTAGTTTTAATCATTAACTAAATACCAGAAGTCTATAAGAAATACTGGAAAATCGAATTTAACTATTATAAATATAATCGTCAATTTTCATTCAAGATATTCGCAAAATTGAGTGTAATTAATGATTAAACACAAGAAAAAAAGAGATATATATATTTTATAACAATATAGCCGTATTCTTATTAATAATGATTGCGCAAGAGTGTCATACAAATAAACATATTATAACTTTCGATCCACCCGTTTATTAAAACTAAATTAACTAATAAAGGGGACGAAAACAACATTATTTCACAACTCAAATTTTTATAGTTACGAATTTTAGTTAGTACAAAAATTTAATGAATTATTTAAAACCTAAAAATGTCCGAGCAATAAACAAAACTATTATTCAAAACAGTCTTTTACTGATTACTCAAAAACTGCTTGAAATAGTTAAGTTTCGTGAAATTTTGAGAGATCTGCAAGAAAATGTGCCTCCTTTAATATACAAAAAATTTTAAAAAAGTTTGTTAAAATAAAATAATTACATTATACAGGATGCATATGTGTACTGCAGCTCTCTATTTTCCTGTTATTCGACAATTTTCTGAGGGCACGGTAGTAAACTATCCGTTTTTTATAGGCTCTACTACCACGCATCCGAAAATTGCCATATGCAAGAGACGAAAACTATTGTTCACGAAAGTTTTCTTTCCTCAGCTGTATGCAATTTCTAATCTTAATTTACGAGCTAAACGTGTGACTTGTTTTTTCTTTTTTTTTTAGGCCCGCCGTTATAGTTATAATTTCTTAAATATAGTTTTTGATATTTTACAGTTTTCTTCTAGTTCCCGCAGTCATTCGACGGTTTTGTTCGATTGCAAGTCTCACCCGCTCAATATTATTGAATGATTTTGTTGTCGAAGGTCGGATAGAACGAAAATCACTATTAAATAAAGTACTGCTTTCTTTGAAGCTAATTAATAAAGATCGTTTGCATTATCTGAATAGCTTTCAAATTCGCTTTCCGAGTTGAAAATAAAATATGATGCCAATTCGTTGATTTCATTTTTCACTTATTTTTAACAATCACAACATTCGCCGAACTCAAAAATAGCTTTGGAAACAAAGACGTGTTTCGCAGAAACTATATGTCCGACGAATGTCAGCAAGCAACCGATAGATTTGTGAGGCTTTACTGATTACGTTCGTACCTTGCAAATGCTATTGCGTGGAGATATAAAAGCAGGTCCGATACTTTCCGAAAAGATTTCATATATTCACAAAACATTAATAGTTGCGTTTATTTCATTGAAGGAAAATTTTATTCATCGGAACAACGTCGAAGCTGTCAATTGAAAACAAATTGTTATCTTATAAAGCTGTATTCAAACTAGTTCGGGCTTATGGCATTCAACCATGGAGTACTGCTTGAAAATCGAATAATGAAATCCGAGAATGATTTTAATTGAAAGTCCTACGTAAAACTGTATGATTCGAACTGAAATTGTTTGAAACGATCAACAAGTTTCAAGAGACGAGAAAAAATTAAATGTATTACGCAAAATATAACACCAGACATTAAAACCATTTAAATAAACTTATCACCAATCTCCTTTAGACCAATATCATAAACACCAAACAAATAAAATATAAACTAATGAATTCATAAATAAATCGTAATCTTCTGGTCACATTTTGAAACAAAGATAGCATATTCACCAAAGTATTCTCTTGAATTTCAAGTAATATTGCATATAGCAATAACCTTTAATTATTGTCTTAATATATTAGACCGATAGTACATAAACTTGGTGTTAATGAAAAAAATGTTTGAAAATCCCTCTCCACAAGTATTTTGTTTGAAGTAGATAACATTATTTTGTGATAAAAGTACCATAAAATACATTGGTTTTTATAAAATATCTCTATACAAAAAAATGTGAAAACACCAATGCACATATTCCATATAGGTTACCTTATAGGGTGTCATTGAAAATTGAAGATTGAATTAAAATTGAAGAAGTATTGCAAAATTTCAATACATTTTATTGTAAAATTGTTGTAAAATAAATATATACATACTTTTAATTTTCCGATGAACGTCACTTTCATAAAATCCAAGTAAATCCACTATTTTTGTTAGCTGTTCATAACGCTTCTTCCAATTGTAACTATGTGGAATCAAATGCGTATTTACAAATAACAAGTTTTTTCCGAATATTGTTAGGGTCAAAGATATAGCACCTTTCGTTTTGAGAACAGTTGAAGTACTCGGTAGCACTGACTTCATTTTATGTACTGAAGTAAATTTCCGGAGTTCATAACGTACAAATAAGAAAATATATAACTTTCCTAATTGACTTTTTGCTTTCATAATATAAGTTGATCCAATAGCTTTTTGAATTTTGTATTCCCATTTTTCCATTACGTATGTAAAACTTTCTTGTGTACCAAAAATAATGATATCTACATTGTGTTCAACACTCGGTTTTATAAAAGAATTAATTTCGATATGAGGATCTTGATTATTCATATTCCAAGAACCAATAAATATTTTCAATTTTTTTTTTAAAAAATGTTTTCTCATCTGGTCGGATTCATATTTTGAATATGTCATTTTTTCACAATCGTTTTTCAATAGATTCGTAATATTTCCATTAGTACATATAAGTGACTAAAGAAGTTTATATTTCGTTCTTGGCTGTAAAAAAGACATTAAATAAATTTTATTATATTTGAAATTCAATATCGATAAGAAAAATAAATACTCTTATAATACGAATGATGGTATTGATTGTATAAAAGAGTTTGTTAATTGTATATACCAATAGTATAATCTGTGCCATTACGGTGATTTCTTTGTAATTTAATGTGTAGTAAAAATGAATTAATTACGATTTTTATGATGTACTCGTAAGTGTAAGATATTGTTTGCGATTTCCCAATACAGATGTTAACTCTGTTAACCAATTATTTGTGCTGTAAAGAGAGTTATAAATGATACTGGACAACCTGCCAGACATGCAGGTTGCAATGTACGTATAATTAATATTTATTAGTTACAATGCAGTGCACTGCCGCTCACGTACTTTTATTCCCCTCAGAAAGTAGGTAAACAAGAGAGGCCTTAGCTCAGGGAGGTATCAGCTAACTGAGCTGATTCCCTGAGCTGATGCCCGTGCATCTTCAGCTCAGCACTGCTAACTAACCTCCCCTCTTCTTAAGTGCTTTGGCACTGTCGACTCACCCCTCCACCCTATGAGCTGATGCCCGTGCGTTCTGTGTGTGTGCGCATGCGTGCGTGCACACTGTGTGTATTCACTGAAATAAATTCTTATATTATTATTAATCATTTATTAATATATATACATAATTATGACAATACTCTTAAAATACAAATTTATAAAATATAAATATCAGTTGTTAAAATAAAATATCAATCAGTTGTCGTTGTCGTCATCGTCATCGTCATCGTCGTAGTCGTCGTTATCCGCGGGAAAACATTTTCCTATTTCGTAGCGCGGGGCGCCGTCACTGCGTCATCCATGAGGGACAGTCGCTTTTTCCCTACGATAACGAGATCGTACAGTATCTCAGATATGGATGGTCCTGTCATTGCATTCGACAGCTTGAATGACAGAAACAGTTGAAATTCGTCGTCAATTTGAACAGTGATTTTGTCACCAAATCGTGTTGTAACTGGCTTTACTTCGATAATCATATATTTGCATCCTTCCGTCAATTAGACTTAGAATATAATCAGAGTACTATTGCTTCTCACTCGTTATTTCTGCTGCTATTGTCGACACCTTTTTCTCGACGAGAAGGAGCTCCACAGTCCGTGATTGCGATTGATATAACATTTCTCCTACCATATTTTCTGCTCCCTTCTCCAAGTTCGTCGGCGGCACGTTAACGATGAACAATACTGGAGCTATAGCGGCAGCTGGGGCGGCAGCTGGGGCGGCAGCTGGGGGCTAGACCAAGACCATTTCCAATGTTTCTATGCCTTCCCTTTCCACTAATGACATATCGTAGTGACCCCAAGGAAGGTTATTTGTAGTACCAGGAAGCAAGAACCGATTGTCATTATACGCACTGAGTGCGACCTTTCATAGTATAACTGATGATGGCGAGATTTGATGATCTTTTGCTTTCGGCTTAAAGTCGCATTCTCATGAAGACATTTGACATAGTCATCAAATACGATCGTAGCTTTCAATATGGAACTTTTTAGATCTTCTGTCTTTTTCATCGGATTTCTATTCTGAACTCTAACGCTATATATTTTACTCCTGAGTCTGACAAACTCCAATAAGATTTCACTGTTGTTCTCATCTTTCATCAGTTCATACACTTTCTTATTGGCTCTTGGAATATTGAACTGATTTTATTTGTCAAAGTCTGAGGTATTGAATTCATGAATATCTCGACGCACGACGTCATATATGTTGGTATTAGTGATCTCATATACCAGACTATCCGTGTCAGTGTATAACAATTTGTAATGCTGTTCCACAACACTAGCCATATAGTCATAGTGGAATCAATATACGAGAATTTACGACAAGTCTAGGACAGCAAGACCGATGTATATGGGTTTTCTCAGTGTTATTTCCGTTCGCTAGAGTTAAATCGCCACTAGCTCATCGTCAAAAGTATCTGTACTATGAAAATTTGGCCGAGCTATGACAGCTTGATTGGAACGTTGATGTTTGCTTTTCCACCAGCTTTTTTAACGGTAGTATAAGCTTTTTTCAAAGCAGAACCGATGACTTTGCGCGCACATTTATCCTTGGACCATTTGAGTGTAGCCCCTTTGATCATGCTTTTCAAATTAACTAACTTTTAAGTTAAATGTCTTTTGGAAGATTAAATTTTCCATAATCATTTTCGATTAAAAAGAAAACCTATATATAGATCTGTTCAATCGAAAACGATTACTTTTAAATTGGGCTTATAGGGTCACACATGCAATATACTCGTAGGCTGTTTTAACGTTGTTACGAAACTACGAAAATACTTAACTTTAATCAATGATATCTCGATGAGATAAAAAGCTCTCTCAAATTTGAAAAATGGATTTCAGAGGGCAAGAGTACTCCTTTATGATGCTGTGACCCGTTTTTGGAAAAAAAATTTATTCAAGATGCTATGTAACCTCAAAAACCGCAAAAACAGTGTTTCTTGCACTTTTAAGTTAGGATATGTCGGGAACCTAGAGTGATGGAGCAATTCTGAGGCCAGATTTGAATTCAGTGCATCAAATTCCTTCGGATACAGCACGTATTTCTGGTCTCTGGATCTGGACTTTCATCAAATTTTGTTGGCCTGTGTCATTTTTCACCGGAAGAAGATTCACGTGCTTTTCTTTTTTCTAATCAGTCAAATGTTGCGACAAAACCTCGTAGGAACCATTATTGAAATTTAAAAAGTACACGTTCACTGAAACGCTGTTTTGTTTTTAAAACTTCACTTCTTTCGGTTGTACCAGAAATGATTTTTGCAATTACATTTATTTTGATGATCAGTATAGGTAGAAATACGTGTGCATTCCTTGCGACTAGATATAACGCCGGATGGATGGCCCATTTAAAACATTCGTTGAATTTGTTCAGAACATTCACACAAGATTTCTTTCTTCTAATAGGCTCGGGCAATTCAACGTAAGAACCAACCCTCATATGATGGTACTTGCTGATATTTACGGTTAAGTTTAATATAAAACGAAGAGACCAGCCCGAGTCCTGCTCTTGAAAATCTTCCGTGTTCTTAATGATTGGTTTTAAAACGTTTTCAATGAACCACTATGTCTGTAGTTAGGTTTATCCGTGCCATCTTCGTATTGAAATGCTTCACATCGAGCATTTCATCGCAATTATTATTATTATTATTATTATTATTATTATTATTTTCGACTGTATACTCGGCATTTAATACAGCATTCACTTTTAAAGAACTATGTATCTTCAAGGTCTTCTTAATTTGAGCATGGAATAATGGTCTAGTATACCTCAAAAGCGTATTCAAATCTAGATGTTCTAAATTGGTTATTTCACCGGTCTTTATTCTGCCTTTGAACGCACTATTGATGTCGTTCCAGCGAACTGTTGAGTCTTGATCTGGATTGACAACAGCCGGTGTAGTGCTAGTAGTTGTAGTACTAGCCGGTTCGAGGCCTTCACCAACTACATCCAAAATAACGAGAGCTTCGTATATCGATTGTTCGCTATGCTTGCTCACAACACGTTCGGCAATCGATGCAGTGGCAATGGGGGTCTGTACCAACAGCCTACTCTTGTATTCGTTTAGCAGATGTAAAACGCTTCTAATCATGCATATAGCTGCCTGCAGCTTCTGCCTTTCAGCCACGATCAAGCTAGGCGAACGAGAAAGCTTATCAGCTTTGCGCAAAGCCAATGAACCCAGTGTCAACCACCTTTCGATGTCTTCGACACTAGCATGATCAGCCTTCGCCAGACGATGTGCGCACAGAAGCTACAAGGCTATATTCTTGAAATACTGTGTTATGATGATAATTACTTAACTGACCAGATTTGATAAATCCCTCACGCTATATTCACTACTCGTCAATGCTGATTGGTTGGCAAAAGAATAGAGGAGCTGAACCAATGTGATTGATCAAAAAATTATAGTGGTCGTAAAAAATAATGTTATTTCAAGCGAAAGAGAATCTAATTGGTTAGAAAAAAAAATTTTGTGGGGAATCAACAAAAGCAAGTTCAGCATAAAAAGGCATTCATTCGACAGTATTGATGCAGTCGTCGATTCCTCGGTTATTACGATGGGTTTTGTCGTAGACGTACAGGGCTTCAAAACTTTCTTGAACGAATTCGTATTCAAGGAGATTGCTGTTTGTCCTCTGTAAGAAGATCCAATTCAATCGGTGCTTCTGCTTAATCCACCTTACCCATGGGAGTGGTTATTAATAAAAAATCAGTGCGAAAACCGGTGGTTAACGAAAAATTTTCATGGTATTCCGTGGAAATCTGAAATAATGAAAAAAACACTTTATGCAGTAACTATTTTTGTAAAATATCTTGAAAAAATAAAATGGCTCAGAAATTTGTTGACCAATGCACAGTAAGTTTCTTTTTATCGCGTATCGTCGTAAAAAGGAAATAAATAATATCTAATGATTATTTTTGCTTCTTTTTTTTATAGAACGACTGTGGATAACGTTGAAGACTTGGGTTGTCCATCACTCAAGAATCTTTCAAACGATAACATTTCTGTGTGCAGTAACCAGAACGCGTATCTATCAAATCTACCATGTGCCTTTAAAAACGCGCTGGCTATCAGCAGATGGATGCTTGCTCGCAAAAGTGATGATAATATGTATTTTGGTTTTTTTTATCTAAGTTTGAAATAAATAAAAAAATTAACGTATCGATCAATCCTTGTTTTTTTTTACCCACTTATTATATATATGTTACGTCTTACGACGCATCCTTTTTATAAAATGCACATTCGTGAAATTCAAAGCAACTAAACTATTCGCACGTCAGCAAAAGCTAACTAAACGCGAGGTAAATGACTCTCCGAAATTAAGCCTTACGACGCATCCTTTTTGTAACATATGCACATTCAAAACTGCTAAACTATTCATACGACAGCAAAAAGCTGTCGAAACACACTCCGAAACTAAGTCACCAAAATGCAAGAATTTATAATCAGCAA